GTGTGAGGGTACGAACGATGTTGTTGTGTGGGGGGGGGTGGAGAAGAACAAAATGCAAAAGGTATTTGTGGCTATACTAAAAATGAAAGAACATTTCAAACCATCATGAGAAGAAATTACTCATTATTTCATATAGATATAAAGAAGGATAAACACATCTATATATACATTAAGTGTAAGTGTTTAAAAGAATATGCAGTCATTCTTTGAATTGTTTGTTTCAAGTTGGGAATCACTGGGTTATTAAACTAGTTCTATAAATAAACAAATAAATAAAATACAAGAAAATTGCCCATTTATCCTATAGACCACAAGCAGAAAGGCTGAAAGGAGGTTTTTTTCCTCAATTCTTTGCTGCTGTCTAATATTACAAAAGCTGCAACAAACCAGTAAGCATGCCCATTAAAACCTTTACCTAATAACTTCTTTATTTTGCTTTTTGGATTTCTTGGTAGTCTCTGCTTGTACAGGAACAACTTCAGGGACAGGTTCCTCAACTGCTGTGTCTTCATCACCCAAAAGAGCTGCCTGCTGAGAAAAATCCATGTCCTGCATAAACGACATGCTGCGCTTCAAAGCTAACAGCCGTTCCTAGAATCAGAAAGGACAGAGCGGCAGGGACTTAACCTTTCCCTCATAGCCAAGATGCTATGATAATGGCATGGGATGGGAATGGCCATGGCCTTATTTTGTTCTTAATGCCTCGTTTCCAATGGCGATGCAACATGATTTGGTCATGGTAGCATGGCATCAGAATTTCTGCAGCCCAACTATCAAGAGAGAAACAAACAAACAAACAAAACTGCATATGCAAAGACAACTGCCTATTTTAGTAAAACTTACCATAACTGCAAAACATGCGCGTGCACACACACACAGGCACACACACAGAGCAGCTCACCAAAATAACTTCATTTTACAAGCCAACAACTTGAGTAAAAAGTGCGTTTGCACGCGCGCATCTGTGAAACCCCTGAAACCTCCCCTATGCCCACCACCTTCAAAAAAGAAAAGCTTTCTTGTTTATGCAGAACTAAAACTTAAATGAGATCTTGTTTTCAAGGTTTCAGAAGCAATATTTTACAGTTGGGTTTTATATACGTGGATCTTAATTGCTTCCACAGAGGCCAGTGGAAGCAGCTCCTACTAAGGTTCAGAAATAAGGGTGTCGTTATAACAAGAATACTATCAAGCCCTTAAATATAGCAGCACTAACAGGCACTGCTATAATTAATCACAGACAGATGAAATAACATTTATCATTGTTACTAATTATGTTCCTTTTAAGTATGACCAAAAAAACCCCAGAGTTTCTGCTTTTTGTTTTTAATAGGTCTCTTACTTTGCTCATCATCTTAAAGCCTGTGTGCAGTATCTTCTTGGCTAGCTTGTAGTAAACAGTATCTGGTCTGTTGTAAGTCATTGCATTATCACACATCAGTTTAAAATCTGCCTGTAAAATACAAGACAAAAGAAATGTTAAAATTTCAAATTCCTTTGTTAAATGACTGGAAGACACCATTCCATCACAGCAGCTCTGTGAAAAACACAATAATATTTTAGCAGCAGGCTCATGGACTAAATGCAAGCCAAAAGGTAACACAGAATTACAATGGTTTGAGTCCTTTTTGCTTCTTCAAGATGCTCAATTTTGTTTGGAACTGGCTTTTTGGTTATAACAAAAACCAAAAAACTTTTCCCTGAATGCCAAATGTAACATTCCCTCCTTCTGCAAACGGACCAAATAGAAGAAATGGAGAAATTAATAGAAGGACTAAGGCACCAAGTTAAGTACTTTTTGGTGTCTTTCCCACCTTCTAAATCAGAATAGACTTGAGAAATACACTGACACCAGAAAGACAAGAAGTGTCTTACATATAACTTTAATTCTAGTAATTCGACCACTTCTTCAGTCACTTGCACTAAAACAAAAAAAAAAAAAAAAGAGAAGAAAACTTCAAAGCATAAGAAACAGCCTTCTAGATGTTCATCGCATGCAACAAAAGAACAGAACAGCCAAGCCTGATTTTATCTTCTCTGAATGGTTATCTGTCACCCATAAATCCAATTAATTTTTACTGATGCAAGTTCCCAAAACAAAGGTGCAACACACCCCACTGTAAACAGAACAAAAAAAAAAAATCTGTTGCAGATTGCAAAAGCTTTTTCTAGGGTGCCTTTTTTCTAGCCACATGCTACTGATCTGTAGAGTAAAGCATTGAAAGCATTATTAGAAGCTCTATGAAACACCGAATTAAAAAGACATTACTATACACCTCTGAAAATTTCTGAAGTTGGCAAATCAATAACCAAGAATCACGCAGTAGTCTTTCCAGGCATTTCACAAATTGGATCCTAAGAAATTAAACTAGTGCCTGATTTAAGAATATATTTTTCTCTCTTAATAACTTTTCAATATTTAAACAATGACTGTTCAAGCAATTAGGCTTCATTTATTCTGTAGACACAAATTCAAATGTTTTTTGTGCATGAGTCCACTATATTTGATGATGACTTGATTATGTGCAAAAGTGTATGCAAAGAGAATGGTATGCTTTTTGAAAAGTTAACCCATCGAGTTTCCAGACCAGTGAATAGATTTGCCGAGACAAAGATTTTTGAAGGTTAATATTGCAGTTGACACAGAAGTCTTTCTAAAGACTTTCTCTGGCACCTAATGTTTACAGAAATAACCTTGCCCTACTGCAATCCTGATCAGATTCTGTAAAAACAAAAAATGATTTTATTTCCTGTTTCCATGCAGAGATGTCAGAGCAGTGCTCTGCTGATCATTTAGTAGTTGTCATCAAGTCCATGCTAAGCAAGTAGGTGAACAGAGTTACAATTGGTAGTCTGTGACTTTCTATGGCACTTAAGCCACCTGCGTTCACAAAAACAGAACTTGAGAAGATGACATGGAGGAACAAACTATGAGCCAAGTAGCAGATAGAGAAGCCCATGTGAGTTATACATCTAGTGATGGCCTTTGAAGTGCTCCAGAAAAAGACAGAGAAGAATATTTTGCTTGCCCAGCTTTGAAATACACCCTTTTTTCGGCAGCAAAACTGATGTTTTCTGCAGCACTTTCCCCTCTTCTCAACACAGCAAATGGTTCTTGCTGACTCTACTCTTACATTATTTATTGGCTTGTGACTAGCCTCAGCTATTTATAATAGGTATACCAGAAATGAAAGATAACCCTTTGAGCAGACCTAGAGGTTGAAAACCTATAAAATTCATTTCTGTATTACACAGAATTACAATGGCATAAGCATAATTAGGTACACTCATATATGTAGAAAGGGAGTCCAACCTCTTTATCACTGTGAGATGGACAACCATTTATTGCTCCTCAGAGTATCAGCAGAAACCAAGTCCTTCAGAAAAAGAAGAATGTGACAGTCTAAACAATATTGCAATTTTCATTTTTTTTTTAGGTTGCTATCCCACCAGTTTCATTATTGCAACCTTGCCTATACTAAATAGAGCCACAGAGCTCCCGTTTTCAAACTTTTCAAACTTCCTTTTTAAGTTGCTTAATAAGACAATCCAGCAACTATAAATCTCTGTACTTTTTTCAAAAAATAAAGCATACATAACAAAACAGAATAATCCTTGTCAAAGCACCTATAGGAAATATAAGCCATTCGTTGCTCACCTTGCTGGACCTTTCAAAAGAAGAAATTAACCCTGAGAAGCAAGCCAATTCTCTCTGCCAAGTCTACTGTTATATCAACACCACTCTAGAAAACAATGACTGAAGGCAGCTAGTAGAACTTCATGAATCAGTTAAAGAAAACTCCTCTCCTTCCCACAGCTGGCAATACCATGAAAAGATTTCTTACTGCACTGTTTGTAAAACCACAAACCATCCAATAAAGTATTACAGCAATAACAATACACAAAATAGCTAAGGCAAGTTGCCAATAAACTTGCCAAGTAAGTTTCTGCCAAAAGACCATTCCAAATGAAGTAATACAGAAAACAGGATAATTAAAGATAAAAAAAATATGTAGCTGTTATTGAATCTTATACAAAATGCTTCAGTATATCTACAATTTTCTTGCAGACATGTCAAAATTGCCTTTTAATCCATCTAACCAGGTCTAGATTAAAAAAAAAAAAAGCTCCAGGTTCTTAAACCTCTTAAGTCTTTGTGATAGTCTTGCTCCTGTTTATGTCTAGCAGCATGAATTCCACAGAACTTTAGAGCATGTTCTTGGTTTCCACAGTAATTTGTAGTAGATTGTAGTAGAATCTGACAAATATAGCACTTCCACAGGGAAAAACAAAGCAAGAAACCCATTCTAACACACAGAATATACAAATGTGCTCAGTGCTGAAAAAATACACATTAAAATAATTTATGTAAGAAATGCTTCTATAGTTAAAAAGAATCTTCAGTTTCTTACTAAAGAGTTCTGAAATAACTAAATCTCTATCAATTCACCTTGAATTCAGTGACTGATTTGTATTCATTTGCTGCAATTTTTTCCTTCATCGTACCAAAATCCATGGGGTGCTTTATTATCATGGAATATCCAGGCGCGATGGCATCCGTGACTGGAAAAGCAAAGAACCCATGAGGATCTTTCCTAAAAATAAAAACAATACATTTAGATTTATATCAGCAAACAAAATGATCATTGTTTTTATATCACGTTAATGGTATAAAAAGAATAGTGCTACTTAAAAACATTAAAAGCACTCTCATAAAACAGAAGCATATTTGAAAAATTTCATGATACAGACAGAACTTTGATTACACATATGCAGACTTTTTGAAAGCGATTCAGCTAGTTCTTCAATTATTTAATTATTTCTTGTATGCTTTTTGTGTCTCTATTTACACTCCAAATGGGTCTTTTGGCTTCACTGAGTAATAACCTCTTCAATTCTTCTTGTTCATGAGGTCCTCTAAAATAACGGGTGTTTAATATATTCAGATTAGTTCCAAATTCAGTTTATTGCTATGTAATAAGAAAGGAAAATTATTTTTTTTTTTAAACACGAGATACAGGGTTAACATCTCATGGAAAACAATAAAAAGCCTCTCCAAATTAAGAGGATTATCAAGTAAGCACGTATAAATTTGCTCTGGTATCTGACAGAGGACACAGAATAAAAAAAAAATTCATAAGAACAGTTCAGTCTTTTAAAATATTAAAATTTGTAACTGTTTTTTAATTCCTAAATTAAGGCATTAATATTTAATAATTTTATAATGGCAATGTATCCTCTGCCCAAAACACTTCCCTGCCAAAAGCTAGAATTACGTAGTAATAATTTTCCTCAACTAATCTTTAAAAACTACCAGGTCTGACATGGTTGCAAAGGTTACCAAACATACTACAGCCAGTCTTTAGGCTCTATCTTCAAACAGAAAACCAGGATAAGAAGTTGTAAAGTAACACATATAAATATGCATTAGACACTGTCGACACAGCTGTAGATAGAATACGCTTAATACCTTTGAAGCTGGCGCAGGAAGTGTTCTAGTAATTGCTGGATTGGTGTGCTCTCATTTTCAGCTGCAGTTTGAGATGGAAACACAGATAAGTGCAATGAAACAGAATACAGGTATGTTTGTTTATTTAAAAATATAAATACCAGAGAGAAAATCTTAACTACAAGTACAGCTTGTACTGATCCGAAGGTCAACGAGATGGATTTCAAAGCAGAAGCACATCAGATTTCTAAGCATACAATAACTATTTCTTCTCCTTTACTACCTACTGAGTTTTAATCACATTACAAACTAGTAGACATTAAATCAGATCTAATGCTAAGTCTAGCAGTTTTCAGAAAATGTATTAATAAGGTGAAAGTAAGGTGTTATGTATTTTTACAGGAAAAGTGAAACTTCATTGCTCAAATACTGCAGTTGGGAAATCCACATTCTTACATTATCCATGCAATTTTAACGGTTTCTTTACTATAACACCCATGCAATTAGCTTCTCTGAATCTTTTCAGTCAAAATGAAGAGTAACAAGTGACAAAACTGGACTATGCAGATTTGCTGGCAAGAGAGGTACTGATTACAACTTCACTTCCTGTACAGATTAAACAATAAACACTACATGTTAATTACCTGTTCCATGCACATACTTCAGAGAGACTGGCTTTACTGTGAAGTTTGAAAACTAAAGCAGCAGCATGCTGAAATCTAGAATTAAAACTCCAACTCTTCATCATAATAATGGAGAGACATTTCCCTTCTTAACCAGAACAGGTAAGGTAATTTATATGCTTTCCAACGACATTTTCCAAGCAGATGAAAATAGAAGCCTTGTCAACATAGAGGTCAATTTTTAGCTTGTCAGTTTTTCAAGGCTCCAGACTACCCAGAGACATAAAGCTTTGACCAGAAAATTTCAGTTACCCCTTTTAGGTCACCTTGACAGTCGATGGACACCATTCCTCAATGTAATGTGCAGTCATAATTAGAAAATTCCTCAATAAATTACTTGACCAGTCAATGGGCAATGTTCCAAAGACAAGACTCACAATATTCCTACAGACCCAGCTTTTTGCTACAAGGTTCCACTTCCAGGCATATGTGCACTGAGATCATGATGTATTTGAAAATTCTAGTAAGTAAAAGTTTCTGCTGGATAATGTTGAGTTTTAACTATCCAGCAATGGCTACAGATAGAGAAAGCATGGCAAAATCTGAAGGGATTAAACATGCAGAAGTTACAACACACAGCTGATGAGTATTTTGGCTGGTGATGAGAACTAAAGAAGATTGGTAAATGAAAACTGGAGGGGACTATGGTCTTTAGAGACACCCTACCACAACTTACCACCATACTTTTGATGAAAATAGAGATATTAAAATTAAAACTCCACAGAGGTTATAAGAAAAGACCATAACAACTGCTAAGCGGTCTCCACAAGATTTTTTTCCCTTGAACTGAGCAAAACTGAGTTCCAGACATTCTGACCACTGTTCTGTAAATGTTGAGGAAATGCTAAGGAGAAGGTATTAGGAGAACACTACATACAATAACACTTTTATACTAGCTTTATTCTGCCAAGTAACAGGAGCCAGGGACAGATGTCCTTGCCAAGTTCAGTCACATGAAAACAAACCTAGTAAAACCCAGAAGCACCAAGAGGAATACTGACTTTTCAGATAGCATAAAGTTCTGAACATTGGAAAAAATAAAGTCTCTAGATTTCAGCAAATCCTCATGGAAATTTTACATTTTGGTACCTCTGACAAAAGTTTTGTTGTACATGCTTTTAAAAACACCCAAGATGATTTAATTTTTCACACTGCTCACCTGGTTGAGTTCTGCATGCTCTGACAGGACGATCTGGAGGAGGTTCAACCTCCACTTTTTTCCCAGGATCAAAATCATCCGTTTCTCCTTCAGTGTCACACTGTTCTTTCTCCCTTTTCCTCTTTTTCTCTTCCTAGCACAGCAGGAAGAAGACAAATTTTAGAAGAACGTACTTGGAATGTACAACCCCACATACCAAAAGGTAAAAGACAGTGATTTTTCTTTTGGAATACTTATTCTACATCTGAACCATAATATGATTTAAACAATACTGCATGCATTTTCACTGTCACTTTTTCAATTTTCTTCTCCAATTAAAGCTAATACTATTCACCTTTTGATTCTTTGTATTTAAAGGTTCAGCACAGACAACTAAGGTGACCACACCGTTTGCTACTAACGAAGCCACAAAGCCTGGCATACAGGTCATTCTAAACAAGAGCCAACAAGACTATTATACCACAGTACTCAACAGATCAGATTTCAGAAAGCTGTTTTGAGTAAACATATCAATTTCCATGTCCAATAACTTGGCATATCTCAGGAACAGAAATACAATTTAGATTTATTTGAAAAGCTGAAAATACCCTCCTCAAAGGGTTACAAAACATGTTTCTGACCTGGCTGAAATACAAAACTTCCAACTTAAAAATGGAAGTATTCATGCCTACAGACAAAGCAAATGGATAAGACAAGCAAGCAGTTACAAGAAACAAGATTTTACTTTGTTCAAAAAATCATCACAGGGATATCTCTTTTAAATGGGAGAATTACACTAACACACACACAGGAGTTTTCTACATTTGTGAAGTGCTGTCTCCAAACAATAAGCTTCTTGCAACGGTGATTTAAAAAAAAAAAAAAAAAAAAGCGCACTGGTACCGTGTGCCAGATTTTAGATGTGATAAGCAAGCATGAAGACAACTGGTATGTCTGAATTCTAAAAATCACAGCTTACCTTTCTCTTCCTTCTTTCTTCATCATCTAGATGCTTTTCTTTTTCCTTTTCAGACTTCTTTTTCTTTTTTTTCTTCTTTTCTTTATGTCGTTCTCGCTCATGATCTGATCTGTCATCATAGTAACTAGAATCATGCCCTGACCCAGAAAGTTCAGTCACTTCACTTCCTCCAACTTTAAGCACCAGCTTTAAAGGTTTTTCCAAAGGCTTATCCACATAATCTAAATTAAAAAAAGTAAAAGATTTCATAAATGCACATGGAGGTCATAGCATACAACAAGGTTGAAAATATACGCAATACATTTGGAAAGAATAATAGCTAAGACCAACAAATCCAAGTTAAGAAACAGTTGTTCAGCACATTTTACATCATGATTTTCTACAAACCTGTAATACGTAAGAAACTAACTCCTCGGCTTTCCCTGAAAACATCACAAGATCCTTGTCAGAGTCAGGTGAAACCAAGTCTCACGCAACCAGCGGAGTAACCGGAATCCATCAGCAACAGCCGCACGAGCCAGGAAGACGCCTGGTCTCAAAGCCCACCGCACCAGCGCCCCGGAGCTCGCTCCACGCTTCCCGTGCCCCTCCCGCCGCCTTCAGGCCACCGCCCGCTTC